TTGATGCCATTTATAGGAAATTGGCCTGCTGTAATCGTTAAATTCTTATTACCTAATTGTGCTGATATGGCATTTAGAAAACTTGAAAAATCAGAATCAAAAGCGGACGTAGTGCATGGAAGTTTAAAAGGATAATCAATATCAATCTACAAGTTAATATATAGAAAGTATTGATTAATTATTTAATAACGATAAATGGATACTGCCAAGGACAATCAGAATCCTTGATTTTCGGATGTTTCATTTCACAAGACACAGGCTTACCGGACTTTGAAAAATTTAATGATATCGATTCAAGCATCGATATTAATATGAAGAAATAATGTAACAATATATTATTCTTCGGAACTAATAAGCCATATTCCATTAAGTGTTAAATCCGAAAGTCAAGGATTACTGGTTTTCATTGACGGCACCCAAATAATCATATAAACAATATAAAATAAAATTAGTTAATCTTACTCCGTCAAAACCATTAGTACCGGTATTAACAATACTAACTAAATCATTAACGAATTTCGAATTTTGACGACTAGACGGATCGTATCGGTATCCCCGATTATTAAGATTAAAGAAACCAGTTAAATTATTCCAATCAGTAGGTAGCAGGACTGATAGAATTATCTATAACGTAGCAATTTATCATTACTATTAACGTTATTAAGTCTTTTTAATGTTTATTTGATATTTATTACTTACTTTAAATGTTAGATTATTTCTTGATTTATAATCTTTCAATTGACTAAGCTTGGAAGATTGTCTGTTAAAAACTGCCAATGGGTCGCCACCAGGAGTATTATTTCGGCCATTATTCACAAGATCATTTGGGCCAAATGCTATATATAAATAATAGCTTATTAAACTTAATAGTAATTAAATAGATTTAAAGCTTTAATTTCGCATACCAATAAAGTTTAAGTAGTCAATTGATGGGCTGATATCAAAATCTACTCCTGGTGTTAAATTAAGTTTATAAGCTGGATAATATCCGACAAGTATTTTTGGTCTAGTTGGAGATAGGTTGCATGAATCTTGACTTAACACCTTTTTTCTTGACACAAATATAAAAAAGGTATATAAAAAAGGCAACATGAACTTATAGAAAGATGAAAATGATCGAATTTTCATGTTTATTATAATGGCATAAAAA